CAAATTAATGACTTCAATGACTTACAGCTTTGTCCACAAAAGTGTTTAGCATATAAGGAAGACACTTTTAAAATCAGCGTTGTGATTTGTTTACACTTGTAATTAATTAAAATCAGTTTAGGATTTTTTAGAAATTCATTTTAGCCTTATAAATTTTTTTAGGGGGCTTATGGGCCCGCGAGCATTTTAAGGGAGCATACCAAAATTTTTTTCGGAGTACGTGGCTGATGCCACGTACCTTCATCAGAAAAATTTCTTTGTCGCCCCTCCCCCAAATGGAAATCCTGGGTACGCTACTCCTTTGAGCATATTGTCAAAATCACTTGGATTAAGCTGCTGCAAAATTTTAAGCACGATCTTGTAGAGTTAGGTTTGCTCTATCTAATGATATATCGAATCTTATTTGAGGTATAGGATTATTCCTTATTATTGCGGTCTGTACCTATTTTGGTGCAGAATTATGCATCAACCTAACATCTCCTACAAATTCAGCATGAAGATTTGACGTCAGCTTTGTATGCTTCGTATGCAACTTGTTTGCATTAGCCGCTTCGACTTCTGACTATTCCCAAGTAAGACAAACTGCCACACGCAGAACCCCTTGTCGTTTACGTCGATGAAGTAACGGAAGATTGGAGAGTGCTTACATCGCGTAAGTGGGCATCTAATGGTGCCTTTGCCAGTTTTATGTTTATTGGGGACTTGTGATACGAACTGCTCGTCAGAGTGCAAATTTTTTTTATAAATTTTGAACTCCTTATTTTACAGCACAAATATAACCTGTCGTTGTGGTCCGTTTGAGTCGCATAAAGCTAAGCGCTGTGCAATCACGAAAATTCCCCTTATGGAGTGAGATTAGGCCTAGAACATTCATTATCAGAAAACAAAAAAAAGTTCATCAATTGTCAGCTGCGAACAAAACCTAAAATTTCAAAAAATGCCTTTTTCTCACCTCAAATTGCGAAAAAAGGGTTCCCAGGAATTTTTCCACAAAAAATGTATGAAAAAATTCAATGGTTTTAAAAGTAGCAGCACTGCTCTTCCGTGTATTGACTACACAGCACGTAGTGCCTGAGCGACCTTCTCAGACAAATGACCGGAATTTCCGCAGAGCGCTTGCGGAAGTTCCGCCGGTCACCTGCGGGAGTTACGTAAATGTGCTGCGGAAGTTCCGAATAATGCCAACCACAACAGCAAAAGAGAACACCGAAGCGAGATTTGAACCTCACACTATTGACTGTGAGACCCACCTACTATCCTCTATACTACGGCTGACATGTTTGATAATGCACTTTAGTTCTTGGCGAGGCGACATCACGAGACATCATATTCAAAGTCCTGCGAAAGTTCTGGCAGGCCAAAGTGCTGCGGAACCTCTTGCATTTTTTGGAAATTCCGCAGATTTTGAGGAAGGTTCTGCCGAAGTTCCGGTCTCAACCAGTTTGGCATGAAAATCCCTCGGAAGTTCCGATTTTCGACGTTTTCATTTTTGCAATAGTGAACAAAGTCCGCGGAACTTCTGCAAATTTGGCTTGCCCTGCGGAAGTTCCGGTGATTTGTCTCAGTTCTAGATCAAGTTATGGTGGGTGGAAGTTAGTTTTTGATGTCAGCCCATTTTTTAATCAAAAGCCAACTTGAAACACACTTTATTGAACTTGAAACGACCATTCAAAAAAATCAAAGTCGAACTTCGAAAACGTATGGAGTTTTTGAAGCAACTCAATACCTCAGCATATGTCACGCAAAACATATGATGTTGAACCGTCCAAAGCGAGAAAGATCACGAAGTGAGTCTATCAAGGTCTATTTTTGGTCTATTTTTGAATCAACAGCCAATGTGAATTATCTTGAATATCAATTTTCACAATGTGAAAATAAAAGAAGCGTTGCAGAATCAGGATCAAAATCTGTCATTGATGAGCAGATAACTTTAAGATTCACTAGTTTATTATGAAAAAAACGCATGATCTTTATTGAATAAACTAGAAAAAGTCTGGTGAGGTTATGATACATGTATCTTATTTCAGTGGCAAATGTTCCCCAAATTACTCGTCTTCCTCATCCTGACTGAATTAACTTTTGCTGGTCGTCCCCGTTGCCATCGTGAGCCTTATCCAATTCTGGAGGCCTTTCTTAACTTATTCAAAGGGTATTTGCCCTTCCAAAACGAAGGTTATGAAAAGAATCTAAAGAAGGTGAGTCACTTTACGAAAGCGGTGAGAAACTGATGGTACACACAAATCGACCGCAGCTCGCAAAGCTGATCAAATGCTACAATTTCGTCAATTGTTAAAACATACAATGTTCTGCAAAAAAGCATGTACAGGGTGTCGCAGCAAAATGCTTTGTTCGTACTGCCGGTGCTTGATATCTTTCTTACTCTAATGACTTTCGCCGATCTTTACTACCACTACCATTCTGTAAATTTGGCTTGGAGTAGATTTACACTTCAAAACGAAACATCAGTAGCTGTTTGTTGTGGATGGGGAGATAAAAACACAAAAAAGACTTTAATCTTTGAAGGCAGTGGCTCGGCAAATCCCAACCTAGCCAGATTTGCGCTTACCTGGGGTTATTCAATACGCTGATCACGAAAATCCACTTCTGGAAGCTTGAAAACTTCGAAAACAAGCGTTCTTAATGCCCTTCCCTTTGAAATTGGACGAGTGGAGCAAGGCCGATGACGCTAAATCGTTGCAGGACCCAATGGTTATAGCGTTGCAGCGGGCAGCCTCCAATGGTGAGAAGGAAACTGCCAACTCGTCCAGATGCGTGTAAGATTGGCCTGCGCGTGTAAGTTCAAGAGCGATTTTCTCGGCAGGGAAAGCATGCTGTGCACCCGGGATTGCACTGTTTTCATACTTGGGCGATAAGGAACCTACGACGTTAAAATCCTGAGTTGTTGGATTTTGCCGATCCACTGCCTTTACGTCTTTGCATTTTGGACACACTGAGAAGTCCCGTCCGTATGCGAAATTGCTTGAAAGCTTGCACAAAGGTTATAACTCATTTCCCCTTCCTCAGCAAGTTTGTCAAAAAGTCTTTGGCTGAAAAAACTCCAAGTCAAAGGCCTTAAGAAAGCACGATGTATTTCTGAAGTGATAGGCCAGATTCGCTATGTTCCCTTTGCTACGCTGTTTGGTTGAAAACCAGTACCATCACTACTTGGTCACCCCAGTGGTACATAGCGATAACGCCGTGTATCCAAATCACTTTTTACAGTGCTACGAGAAATGCAAAAGGGCGCCGCCATGTGTACATTTCCAAGATTGCATCCAAAGATGTATGGCAAGAGAAACTGGCAAAGAATTTTGTGAAGACAAAGACTTTCGTGAACGATATCCCTGGTATTGCGGTACTCCTCGTCCAAGCACGAGAGGCCCTGAATGAATACTGGTGCTCACATCATATATATTAGGTTGTCCCGAAAGTTTCGTCTGTTTTTTCATCACTCATCAAAAGTCACAAAACAACAATCCATAGAGGACTTAGGTACCATTTAATTCAGATTTTTGTCCTCTTTCTTACAGCTACATTTGCTTGATTTACTCTGTCTTGGCAACGTTATAGCCATGGCTTTTTGAGCAGCCCAGCAGTAACGCCAAATCTTTCCTGAATTTTAACAATTTTTATTTTGATGCTTTCAAAGAGCACTGGTGACTATTATGTAGAGCAAACCTTTGGCTATATTGTATTCATTTTAGTCTACATGGGCCACGTTTACCAAGTCCGTTATAATTATTTATTTGATAAAAACCGTGGTTTCTCGATTACGTTTACCAGGTAAAAGTGCCGAAAATTCCAAAAAGCTGCTTTTTCAAAGCAAATTAAACCTGGTCATGTTGCATAAATAATGTTCCATGAGGATCATGTTTCAATTTGTAGAAACTTTAAAAGCTTTCATGTATTTGCTACAGTTGTGGGTTTCGTGATTTTGCCAAAAAATGAGACCTCCAAAAAAATTATTTTGAAGCTTAAACAGCAGATTAGGAGAATCTAAAAATATAGCCTTCTAGTCCAAGAACTGCTCTATTTGATCCATACTTTACCCTTCCCGAAACTTTGGAATGAAATTTCCAAAAATTACCCCAACTTTGAGCAGATAAAATTGACAGGTGGAGAATTTTGGCAATTATCAACAGAAGCATAAAAGATTTTGGTTCGAAAATGCATCCACAAGATAGAGAAGGAAAAGTTGCGAACGCATATTGAAACTTATTCAGGTCTTTATTGTGCGTGGTTTTACAGTGGTTTGAAAAACGGACAAAACTTTCGGGACAACTTAATATAAAGCTGATTTGTCGGTTGTACGTATGTGTTACGTGCTGCTAACTAGTTTTTCTTCTTTCACCAAGACCTGTCGATTTTAACATAGCATAAAGATATATTTATTGATAGATATGAAAACTTCATGCTGCGTTTAAGATGTTGAGCTAAAGACGCATGTTTCCACGCACATAGATTACGAAACGTCATGAGATGTATATGATGAAAAGTAAAGGTCACAACCCAATGAAAATGCGCTTACAACACTTCACGGCTCAAATATCTGTGCGCTGATTGATTTGTATAGAAATTCCCGATACATTTAACGATACAATAATAAACATAATGATAATCACAGATAAACAGTGATTAAATCACAAATAATCGCTACATAAGCAGTGAGCCGACGTAAGTGAAATATACTTGGTCTAAGGAAGAAAACAATGGAAGAGGAGTTTGATAGAGGGGCATTGCAAAGAAAATCAGTGAAAATATAGAAGAAGAAAAGCGTCGACGAATGGGTCGACATCATATACGGATGAAACACAGACGCATCAGCGTCGAAAGACGGATACAAAACAAAACGAGTGATAATCAGTCCGAACCGTATACGAAGAGGCTTCTGATAGAAAAACAGAGGGAAAATGCATGAAAAATGACAGTGGTAGGAAGCGCGAGATATAGGGTAACTATACTGTGGTCCAAAAAATTGAACAATGTCTATTTTGCTAAAATTAAATCTGCCTATTGTTATTTGGCACCCAAACGTACGGTCGTCCCTCGGCAGCGATGAGGTGCTGCACGCGACTGATGACTTCTTCAGCCGATTGTGCATGCGAGATGACGTCTGAATAATGATAAAATACTAGTGGCTAGTACCAAAGTGTCGCATATTTTTGGAAAGTCATAACTTCTTAGTCATTCAACGATTTCCAAAAACTCAGTTTTAAAAGTTAGAGGAATCATATTCGCGCTAGTGCCTTTAACAGGAGTCACTTCAGCTTTTGCCATTTTTAGCAGGCTTTTGAAATTCTACACCTTCGATAAAATTCAAAGCAAGCAGTAAAGTAATTTTTTTTGAATTCACCCTTTCCAACCAGGGTGTGTTAGATAAAAAAATTTTCTGAAGAGTTATGGTTTTGAGTAAGCAGTACAAACAGCAATTATGGCCTTTTATCTTTTTCAGATTAACTCCTCACAGCTATGCTTAATTGATACGAACTTTGCCCAGTTGAAAAGGTAGATCAAATGAATTACTCTACTGCTTGCTCTAAATTATATCGCTAACTAACAGATTTTTAGCAGCCTAACTGAAAGGACCGCATTTTGTTTACCTGCTTATAAAAAGCCAAATCATCAGAGCGCAGCAAAAATCCTACTACAAAGAATTAATTTCCTATAATTGATAAAATCAGATTTGTGCAAATCTGCCGAGTAAGCAAGAAGTTCTGATTTTACAAAAAATGGTGCAAGAAAGCTTTTGCATAAATTCAATAATAAGATAGTATTCAAAAATTGCAAGAAAATGAATTGTTACACTTAAGTGGAAGTAATTTTAGAAATTTCCTCCAATACAAAGATATATCTTTATCATGGTATCTTATCTGCAGATTCAAAACCGACGTCTTCTTCTTTACTGTTTTTCTTTCTCAGTTATTATCAGTAATTCTTCAAAACTCATCTCAAAACAAAAAAAAATGGATTCCAATGCACTTACGTGTGAATAAATCTCCAAACGTTTGCTCTAATCGTTGGCATCGTTGGAATTGTTGCATGGCCTCGTCCTCGTTCAGTGAATGATCCAATTGCCTACAGTTTATTAGCAATCATTTGATGACTTTAGACTCAAGGGCATAAGATAATTGCTAGTTCCTACATTATATGATGTTGACTGGTTGGCTTGATAATCGCAATCGGATAGATATTAGCAACTGACTGAAGACGTCGGATTGCATTTCCGCTTACATCCAGGATGCAGTGACGGCCTTGGGAAACTTAGATTATTTGTTGAAGTAAACAAAACTACAAGAGGTAGCTTACCTGCTGAGCAACCATTCTCATGCTATCGATACTGGTTTCATAGAGGTTGTTCTGGAACTGGCCAGCTTCGATAAAGAGATTGTTCTTGACGTCGTGTTCCATTTGAGCTTTGCTGACAAGGTGATAGTCTCTGCCATCTACTTCATGCTCACGTGGCGGTCGCGAAGTGTCTAAAATTTTATTATTCAAAAAGAGGATCTTTGTAGAGGGCAATGACACGAGAAAAAAATCGTGATATACTTGAATGAGAAAAGCCGTCATTTATGGGAACTAAGTCAGGTTATGCTTGAAGGAACCGGTCACACAAATTGAGGGTGTGGGATTTTGATATTCTGTGATACCGGAATTGCTAACTAACCAATCGCCCAATTCGCGCTGCAAAAGATAAATTTCGAGAGAACAAAATTGCCCCAGAATATAGAGGCGGCAGTGGTCGCTCCATCCACAACGTTGGTGGTCGGAAGATAACGTTTAAAATTGACTTTCGGAATTTTTTGACATTTTTTGACATATTCAAACCCATTCCTGAACATATATCTTCAGTACCATGTTAAAGGCGGAGCACCACCCCCGCTCCTATTCTCTAAGGCAATTTTCTGTGCTCGGAATTCATCTTTTCCAGCAAGACTGGGCGACTGATAGTTAGGGGCCCGCATTTATACAGTATCAGAATCTCACCATTGTCAAATTGGATGACGGTGTTTTTGACTAGAAAATATCATTTATAGAAAGCTATGTCATGGCCTGCGCGTAGCATGTGACTGATGTGCAAATACCCAGATATTACGACGCAAAATACAATAAACTTCGACACGAATTGCCATAAATGAAGTACAAGAACGCAAAACTGTTTCCACCTGTATTCGAAAAAGTCAAAACTCATTACACCTCAAGTCATGAACAAGTGTAAGTGAAAACTATGACATGTGTAACTTACGAGGAACGCAGCTGCTGAAGCGATCTGGATTTCTGGTAACAAGCTTCTCACTGACGCGGTCTTTTGGTGCTCCAAGAATGATGACAGGGCGCACATATTTCACTGCACTAGTTTACTAGGTTTTTGTTATATAGCAGAACCTAAGAACGGCGACAAGCACATTGTGACGAAAAGAGCGCAGATCAAGCTACAAATTAGAGCCACTCTTTTACTGCCCAGCAATCTGGATTATACCGTAGCTCCGAGCAAACCGGGTCAAAAGTTCGCATACCGGTTATGTGTGAATACTGGCTGTTTAGTGCAAGCGAATCCCAAGAAGATAATCTAGATCAGGTGAAAAAGAGGTGAGGAGAAAAAGCTGCATCGAATGACACCCGATTTGCTTGCCGGCTGATGTTCTATGAGCTTTGAGACCGAGCAAGGAGACTGCTAGCATCAGATGAAATTCCATCAAAAGATCATGGCAAGCTCTCCGTTACTCGGACTCCTTCGGAGGATTGATATTAAGATTTAGAAATGTTGTGAAACTTGCCCATTTTAAAAAAATGGGTGGCAGACTTAGGTAATCCGAGAGCTCATTGAATCTGTTGCAATAACTTCATGACCATCCTTCATGACCATTGACCAGAGAATGAAATACTGCATCGAATGCTGCTAGCAAAGGTCTTTCGAAATCTCTGTTTTACGAGTTGTGGCGTTTATTTGAAATTACTGTGGCGTCATTACTTTCGGAATGACCTGATATAATTACTTGGGCACTTAATCAATGCAACTTTCATATAGCGTCTGTCTTTTTGAATGTGGCACATTCATTTTTTGATATTGTAAAGATTAGGATACATCCAAAAGATTGAGCCATTTTCTCCTGATTTCGCCATCGCAACGGGTGACGGCAAGTTCGGTATCATGACGAAAATTCCAGGTTGCTTGCTGAAACATGGTTTATGAGATTATTCAACGTGTTGATACAGAAATGATATCCATTCGGCATGTGATAGCATCCTCTTCGTAACGTTTGGATGTATTTTCTACCTTAGGCCCGGACAGACTTCACGCGATTTGATCGTCGCGACTGAATCGCTGCGAGACAACTGTTACAACATCATTTCATGCCGATCAACTTGCATTTCGGTTGTGATACTATTCCAGCACGAAATTTTTGAATGTGAAATGAAAATGAATAGAAATGTCGACGATTGAGTCGCGACGATCAGATCGCGTGAAGTCTGTCCGAGGCCTTAGCAACAAACGAATTTGATGTTCGAGTTCAGCTCGAGTTGCGAACTCGTGGCATTAATTGAGGTTCCGCAACTGAGTTACAGATGATTGCTCCTCCAAATTCAACGCATTCGACTTAATCAATTTCTCATGGGCGCCAAATTCTGATTTGTCTTCACATTTCATAGCTATCATACTGAATGATAATTCCATTTCTGGGATCATGCTTCCTACAGTTTCGTCTTGATGTATTTGTTTCAGGTTTTGCACGGCTTCTGCTTAGAAGCCGAAAACCTCAATTTTAGCAGTTTTTGAGAAAATGGTCCATGTGTTTATGCAAGAGCGAGTTTTTGCGCAGCATTGTAGCTTCATCACAGTCTATATATTGCCAAAAAGAGACGAGGCTAAGTCAAAAGAGAAAAGTTGTGACAAGAAGATGTAGAGCTTATTTGCGGATATTTGCTTTTCTCAACGGCTTGTGAGACCTTTGCTTCAGTTGCATACGCTTTTATACAGGGTGTCCCAAAAAATGTGAACACTGTTTGATCGTTAATAACTCCGTTGCTTTCACGTCTTTCGCCGAGCTTGAGGCACCATTCTGTGAAGCGAGGTTCAGCTTAGATTTGTAGTATGGAGCGAATCACCGATCGCTGTTCGTTACTGTTCGTTACTGTAGGATTGAACTTCAAGCATGTGGATTTGTTGTGAAATATGCCATTTGACAAAATTTGTTCAAAAAATCTGAAAAATTGTGTACTAGGGTTTTCGCGCGCGCTGATTCCATTAGACAACTTTTTACGAGTGTTTTTAACTTTCTGACGGTGTAGTCACATTTCTGACAAACGCTAGAAATTCAGATGTTACGGTTGAATAGGATAACCTTGGAAAGAAGCATCACAGTAAAATGGAAATTTCATATTCGAAATTGGCGTCTTCCATTACCATAGTATAGAAGTTTTTGAATAGTTTGGTTTTGTTCCGAGGCAGAACATGGCCTACAATGGCCGAAAATCCTTGCCGAAGTTCCTACCGTAATGCTAGAGCAATGAAGAGAGGTCGACGATTCGCTCCATACTGCAAATCTAAGTTAAACCTCGCTCTAAAAAATGGTGCCTCACGCTTGGCGAAAGACATGACAAGGGAGTTATTAACAATCAAACAGTGTTCACATTTTTTTGGGACACCCTGTATGTGATGATGTATTTGTTTCTGATATTTTTTATTGTTGCTTGGCGCAAAACTTGTGTAATTCAGACAGAATTCAATAACTTTCCAAAAAGTAAACTCAAATTGATGGTTTGGCATCTTTAAATGGAGAAAAGTTTGCGATCCATAACAGATGTTCAAGCTGGACATTTTGTAAGTTTAGCCAACGGTTTTGCAATCTTAGCAATTCTTTTCAAACCAGTTGTATTCAATAGTATTCGCATCCCGAACTTCTATCTTTTGTTCTCGCTAGAGGTGTAAGCAGGGTTGAGAGTGGGGTTAGGCGTGCCCGATCTCGGAGGGCGTAGTAAGGTGTGGATAGGGGAGGAGGGTCGTAATCAAAAAGCAAATTCTCCAAAATGAGTCAATATTAGGTTTGAACAAGGTGAAGAACAAAAGCGCTAAATCAAAAAATGTCATATCCTCACACTATCACTGATTATTGCAAAAGACTGGGTACGGTTGTGATTAGCATCCTTATAACTCTACCAGCATTCTACTACCGATATTTCAATAGTTTCGAAGATCTTCACACCCTACCGTGCACCTATTGTAAGCTACGAAAAAAAGCCTCATCCTGTGAGCGATTTCCTAATTAGCACGTCATATTACATCTAGAACTCTAGTAATCATTACCCGCTACACATTCGAATACTTCTCAGCACGCGTCATTTTCAAAAATGGTTAGTTTGTTTTCAGAAAAATCAGCTTTTTCATACTGGTAACAAAACAGTAACCTTTACTAAATAATTACTTTATAATGCTAAGAATTTCACTTCACATCGTTTTTAAGAAGGGGATTTAGAGGTGTTCCCACTGTTAATGGTCCAAAAATTGTGTCAAACCAATTTCTGATTGAAGTTATTGCTCTAAAAAAACTATCTGAAAAAAAAAGTTCACCCTCAATTGCTTCCTTTCCCGTGCTAGTAGTGTGCGCAGCAAAATAGGCGCACAGACTTCAGTTATCAGAAGCGGCCACTACAGGCTTGATTCTTTCTTTTAAAGTGACGCTGTGGGACTATGTGAGAGTAAGGAATGGGCTTGTCCATGCAAAGGCAGGAAGGAGGGGGGAAGATTCGTTTTCAATGGACATGTGCCTAACAACGCTTGAAGGCACCATCCACCCAAATTCTCGATTTCCATGTTTTTGTCTTCTCGGGGCCTTTTTATGTCCCTATTCCAAATATGAAGTCGGAATCTTCGTGAACCCCACAACCCTCGTTCAGAGAACCCGCCGGGTTGTCAGGGTGAACGGTGATTGTTTGGGCAGGGTGGGCATTACTGGGAGGGGCGGGCCGACTTGGAGTCCTCGCGCCTTTTCTTTATTCCGGAAAGACTTTCTCGCTTTTCAAGCGATATGATCCGCGAATTTGGCATTGGCTTGATAGGAGGCCCTTTTATCGTATGATGTCAAAGTTCAAGATCCCTGATTTAGGATGGATGGTGCCTTTACCCCAGTCACTTTCATCGGAATGACAGCTGCGCAGTGTTGTTTCAGTTTAGTAATTAGCTTGCCCTTTATTGTGTGAACATTAACATTTACACGCTAATGGCTGTATTTGTTTTAGTAAAATATTTTGTGAGCGAGTGCGCATGCGCGGAACTGTCTAAAGGCCAGGATTTATTTTCCCGAAAGTGTGAATCAATATACTGGATTTGTACAACTTTCCGCAAACGCAAGCAGAATGCACTCAGTTTTCATCGTAGAAGAACGCAGCTGTAAAAACGTACTTTCTATCTA